TGGTTGTGTGGACATGGGTAGGTGTGCTTAGAACATGCTTGTGTGGACAGCGGTGTGCTTAGAACATGCTTGTGTGGACAGCGGTGTGCTTAGGGCATGCTTGTGTGGACAGCGGTGTGCTTAGAGCATGCTTGTGTGGACAGCGGTGTGCTCAGGGCATGCTTGTGTGGGCAGCGGTGTGCTCAGGGCATGCTTGTGTGGGCAGCGGTGTACTTAGGGCATGCTTGTGTGGGCATGAGGCATTGAGGACAACATCTGGTTAGCCATTGAGCTGAGTTCCAGGATCCCTGGAGATTCTGCCAGGAGCATGGGAGGAGACGTCTCACTCCTGACTAGGTACAGCCGGGAACGGGTGATGCAGTAACACCCCGTTGTGTGTTCTTTGACTGAACTGTAGACAGTACAACAGCAGCGGCAGTACTACAAGGACAAGACTGGCACGGTGCCCCGCGTTCCCTACTTCGTGCTGCCTGTGAAGGAGCAGAGCCGGTACCCCATACCCACCGACTTGTGAGTGTCCCTGTCTTCCTCCCTGTTGGGAACACCCAAACACACACATCCACAGGGCACCCACTCCTCATCCAGCCCTAGAGCCCTAACACTCAAAACCAATTAGCAACCTAACCTGTGGCGCCTGTGGTACAGAAGCAGTTGCATTGCAGAGAAGGTCCCAGGCCCAGGACCTGGTGGAGGGAGAATGCCAGGAACCTGTGTGGGCACAATCAGGAAGTGCTTTCCTGACCAGGTGCATACTCCACAGCCTCTGCTGGTGGGAACCTGCCCTCTGCTTCCTCTGCAAAGGCCTGCTCTCAAAGCTGCACCAGTTAAACCTGGAGCTGCTGCTGCCCTCTGGTGGTTGAATGGGATACTACATCCACTAGAGATGGGCTTGCCACCCCCACCTTCTTGCCCTCTCCTGTGGAGCCCAGTCTGGGTTGTTCTGGGAACCTACTTGCACACTAAGAACTTGAAAACATCTTAAAAGCTTAACTAACCAAGTAAAAACATGTAAGAAAGCATGTTACAGCCTAGCCCTCACGCCTGGGCTTATCTGGGAGAGCCTCGGCCCACCTCCAGATCAGACCTATTTTGCTCTGTAAGGTGAGCCAGGCGGTGTCTTTCCTCTTGCCACTCAAGGGATCACAAGCTTATTCCTAGGCGACTGTGGCTTTGGTAGAGCGGTGGGTTGTGCCTGGTTAGAGACGCAACACTCCAAGCCCATTCGTTCTTCACCCATCTCTTGCATCCCACCTCCCTTTTCTGGGGAGGGGCTCGTAGGAGGTCAGTGGGCAGGTTTGGGGCTCTAACCCTCCATAAGCCCTGTGTACCTCAAGAGCCCCGGCCTCAGCATCCAGCTGTCAATAAGCAACTGTTCCCACACCATTCAATAGATTCTGCAGACATTGTCCCACTGCCTCTAGAAGTGCCTCTCTGTGGATAAACAGGTAAACTGAGTCCAGCGAGGACCTCAGAAGCTTGTGCTGGGTGGCCTGGTGGCTGGGGTCCTAGTCTGGGAAGAGACCCATGTCTGCTACTATCAACTCAGCCTTTGAGTTGACCTTCTTTCTAATGAGGCGATTCTGAGTGTGTCTCCATGGAGACAGGTCTCCTGGCATTGTGCCAGATGTGTTCTTCTTGAATCTTCAGACCACTGGATCTTGTTTTTTCACCAAATTACCTGGTAGTCCATAAGACAGTGCCATGCCTGACCCAGACAGTTAATCTTAAGTGCCTAGGGAAGGTCAGTGACCAGTTCTATAGCCTGAAGAGTCTCTACCTTTCTGGAATTCCATCACCACCATCACCACCACCACCACCACCACCACCACCACCATCACTGCCATCATCACTATCACCACCATCACTGCCATCACCACCATCACCATCACTGCCATCATCACTATCACCACCACCAGTAACACCATCATCATCACCGCCATCACCGCCATCACCGCCATCACCGCCATCACCACCATCACCGCCATCACCGCCATCACCACCATCACCGCCATCACCGCCATCACCACCATCACCGCCATCACCACCATCACCGCCATCACCACCACCACCACCATCACCACCATCATCACTATCACCACCACCAGCAACACCATCATTATCACCGCATCACCACCACCATCACCACCATCACTACCATCATCACTATCACCACCACCAGCAACACCATCATCATCACCGCCATCACCACCATCACCACCATCACCGCCATCACCGCCATCACCGCCATCACCACCATCACCGCCATCACCGCCATCACCACCACCACCACCATCACCACCATCATCACTATCACCACCACCAGCAACACCATCATTATCACCGCATCACCACCACCATCACCGCCATCACCACCACCACCACCATCACCACCATCATCACTATCACCACCACCAGCAACACCATCATTATCACCGCATCACCACCACTATCACCACCATCACCATCATCACCACCACCACCATCACCACCACCACCACCACCACCACCACCACCACCACCACCATCACTGCCATCACCACCACCACCATCACTGCCATCACATTCACCATCCATCACCACCATCATTCCTACTGTAACATCACCATTGACTACCATCTCCTAGAACAGCTGAGTGTTTACTCCTTGCCTTGCCTTCTCTGCGGAGCTTCATTTAGAACAAAGCCAATAGTGTAACAGTAACAGCAGCTCACTGTCACATGGGTTTGCTTCCAGCAGGAGATGGGACCAGCATCCATACCCAGGTCCATGTGACTTTGCTGATGTCACACTGCTGAATGGCCACAGGGCCACAAAGCCCTTGTGGGTACATGGGGTTATGGTGAACACTTTTTACCCTTCCCACCAGGCACACTGCCTGACGACAGCCCCATCCTTACCCCCAGGCCTCCTCTGAGCCCGAAGAGTAAGTGGCACCTTCTCAGAGTGTCCCCTGACTACCTGAAGCCCTACCAGACCTTCCCATCAGGGAAGAGAGTCTCCTCACAAGAGCGGCAACGGAGGGACCTTTACTTCGAGTTCAGAGCCTGAAACCAGGTGGCTGACGCCAGGGAGCCTTGGCCTGACCAGGCTGGCTTACTTGAAATAAAATCTTCAGCCACAACCACCCCACATGCCTCTCCTTTGGGTCCTATCACCATGCATCCTGCGCACCTGGGAGGCCAAGCCTAAGAGAGTCTAGCTGAGATGCAGTGTTAGCTGCAGTGGGCCACCCAACTGCTCCCAAGTTGAGGCAGGTGGGATTGGAGGGTCTGACAAAGGTCAGGCTCACGCGTTTGCCCAGGCGGGTTCCTCAGGCGTGGAGACCTCACATCTGCTTTCACTAGCATAATTGAGAACACCTAGACTGCGTCTGGAAGTGGGTGCCACAGCTCCCAAACAGCTGCCCTGGGTGTTCACGCTTAGCCAACTTTTTCTCTTTTCTCGGTCTAGGACCCCAGCCCGTGGGATTTTGCCACTCACATTTTGAGTGGGATTTCCACCCTCAGTTAACTGACTCCACAAACCCCCTCTCTGATGTATGCATAGGTGTGTGTCACTAACTCCATAGGTGTTTCTTCGTCCACTCAAATTGACAGTCAAAATAAGCCTCACTTATGGGAAGGAACTGTCCCTGGAGCCTTGGTGTTATTTAATTGACCTTTATGATAACTTGTAAGTACAGCGTCTCACTGAAGATGTGGAACCTTCAGGATGCTGAGAAAGTTGCCCAAGCCCACACAGTAATAAATGACACAGACAAGATTTGAACCAGGTTTTTGCGGCTCCTCAGTCCTGGCTTCTCACACAGCCAATGTGGAGACAGAAGGGGTCTTTATGATTCGGAGGGGCCTGGCAGTGGGGCATCTTTTGAAGAGAAATTCTTTGAACATCGTCCTGGAACTCGCTCCATAGACCAGGCTGGCCTTGAGTTCAGAGATCTACCTCCCTTGCCTATCAAGTGCTGGCGCTAAAGGCATGTGTCACAACCACCCAACGGGCTTATTGAAGAGCTGGAGGGGTGAGCTGGAACTAAATACTCTTAACAACCTGGCCACAGGGAGTGGATGCCAAGGTCACAAGCCTAGGCGACCTTTGAGGGTCAAACGTGACAGCTTCCAACCTCCTAGGAGACTTTAACAGGGCAGAGAGTAGGATGTAGCGGCCCTATAGGTGGTTCTGGGGAGGAAATCTCCACTCAGAAGTGCGCTATACCATTGGGCTCCCCCAGCCTTCCAGCCCCTCCTGGATTAGATCAAAGCGACTTCATGGAGCACTGGGTGTCTGTTGCCTCCAAACGGGTGAGTCAAGACATAAGACAGAACTCAAGTGCACACTGTGAGAAAGTAACTCTTCCTGTGTAACCCGTGCTCATCTACTTCCCTTGGGACCACAGAGATGAGAAAAACCACGTGCCCAGCAGGTAGCCCATCTGGCAGCTCCCACAAGTTCCCATGGTGCACTTCTCTTGTGTCCCCCCGTCTCCAGCCAGCTGGACCCCAAAGTGTCCCCAGAGTGGCCAAATTCATGGCAGGGCTTGGCTGAATAGCAAAGCAAATAAGCCCTAAATGCTGGTCACACATGGTCCCATCCCCAGAGCCCAAGTGTGGCAAGCAGGGCCAAGATGTCTTCTCTGTGAGAGGAAGACAGAGAAGCCAGGCGCCAGCTGGAATGACAGCTATGCGCACATCCCTGACGCTGCTCTGGGAGAGGATGGGTCACGGGTGGGCTCCAGAGGAGGGAAGGTCGAATATTTTCCTTCTGAACTTTGTTCTATTTGGCTCGGTCCTCTCCTCTGACACGGGTTGAGGCTTGAACTCTGTCCTAAAAAAGATCACCATCCTGGCTTGCCTGGAGTTTTTGGCAAACCTGAGTCCTAGAATGAGCAGTTCTCAGCACCAACGCCCTGTGCAGGACCTGCCTTCCAAAGGCAGTGGGCATGACGGAGCTGGGGAAAACATTTCTTTTTATTTATTTAGTGAACATTCTACAGGCGAAGGAGGGACAGGGACAAGCCATCCTTCAAGTCAGATTCCACCATGCCAGGGCACAGGGGAGGTCCAGTGGTCTTCCTCGAGGCTGCTGGGCCAGAGGGTACCTCCATATCAACATCCCCAGAAATGAATCCGAAAGGAGCTGGAAGGAAGAATCCAGAGATATTTGAGGGCCCCATCAGGCCTGTTTCTGTAGGTAATAGTCCCAGCAGACTCAGACCGTGTGTGTGTGTGTGTGTGTGTGTGTGTGTGTGTCTATGAGTGCCTGTATGTGTGTCAGTATGTCTGTGTGTGTGTCTCTGTGTGTGTCTGTGTGTGCCTGTATGTGTGTCAGTGTGTGTGTGTCTGTGCGTGGGTGTGTATGAGTGTCAGTGTGTCTGTATGTGTCTCTGTGTGTGTCAGTGTGTGTGTGCGTGGGTGTGTATGAGTGTGTGTATGTCAATGTGTGTGTGTGTGGGGGTGTGTATGAGTGTATGTGTATGTCAGTGTATGTGTGTCTGTGTGTGTGCATGGGTGTGTATGAGTGTGTGTCTGTGTGTGTGTGCGTGGGTGTGTATGAGTGTATGTGTATGTCAGTGTATGTGTATGTCAGTGTGTGTGCGTGGGTGTGTATGAGTGTATGTGTATGTCAGTGTGTGTGTGTGCGTGGGTGTGTATGAGTGTATGTGTATGTCAGTGTGTGTGTGTGCGTGGGTGTGTATAAGTGTATGTGTATGAGTGTCCGTGAGGGTGTATGTGCACTCATGTACATGTATGGAGGCCAAAGAGCAACCTCAAGTGCAGTTCCTCAGGAACCATCTACCTTGTTTTTGTTTTTTGGTTTTAGACAAAGTCTTTTGCTGGCACCAGGGAGCCCTGTGACCAGCCTGTCTCAGCCTCCCCAGCCTGGGTATCGCAAGCATATGCCACTACACTCAACTTCTGCTATAGACTCCAGGGATGAAACTCTGGTCCTCATGACTGCATAGCATAGCAAGCTGTTCACCAATTAAGCTATTTCTCCAGCCCCTAAACGTTCTTTAAGCTTCTCTTAGCATCACCAGAAAACAAAAGGTTTCTGCATTTGAAGGTGTCGGAGCCAATGGAAAGAAATGGTAGCTATTTAGACACAGGTACAAGGCAAATAGGGTTCCAGTGCCAAGGTTGTGTGGGGCTGTTGTGGAGGAAGAGGAATTCCCTCCGAGAGGACTGATCCCAAGAGAGACCTAGCCACAGCCCTCTGATGGTAGTCACGATGGAGTCAGGAGCCTTCATCTCCATCCTTGTGGTTGGAAGAGGTGTGGGCCCAGCTGGGCCAATCAGAATCACTCTGGAAATTTGGAGTTGAGCTGAGACACCACTTAAGGGTCCCTGAAGTTCAATCAAACATAACATAAACTGTTGGGAGGCTGTGACACATGACGGCCCGTGTCTGACAACCCAGAGGTTGCTGGTGTGCAACGGAAGGTAGGCGTGGAAGAGTAGAGAAGTAGGGTTAATGGAGGTAGAGATGGGTTGGAGAAAAGGAGAGAGAGAGGGAGGGGGGGGGGAACATGCAGCTGCCTGGGCTTCTGCCAAGGTTCCTGCTCAACCCTGCTCTGTCCTTTTTTTTGAGTTGGTTTGTAAAATTCTCCAGAGTCACCATCCTTCCTCCTCATCAAAATCATCTTGTCTGTGAGATCAAGGGACAGTGTTAGGAGCAAGTGTGCCAGACGCATCACGGGATGCTGACTCAGCACAAGGAAGGCTGTTCTCGCCGGACTGTTCAGTCATGACGAGGACTACCTCTGGAGAGGATGCATTTGTTCCGAACTGGAAGGGACCGGAAGACGACAAATGCAGCCTTGGGAATACAGAGGGCCATCATCTGGAGGGAGGCTGGAGCAGAAATCAGTGAGGTCCCTTCTGCTCTCAGGTAGAATTAGCTGCTTCTCTTGTGACATTTCTTTTGTCAGCTCTTCCTCTGGCATCCTTACACTGCTGAACTATGCCCCCCCCCCCCCAGCTTCTAGTGTATCTGGAAATAGTGTATCTGACACAGGTCAGATCTGAAGCCCAGTAGGTACCGGGAGATATACACAGATGTTCTGGCCATTAGGAGTAATGTCTCTGAGGTTGTGCCAACCCCACGTATGGTTTGCAAACCCTGAAATCCTGTCGTCTCCTGTGTTGGTTCCCCAAGGTTGGCAGATTTCTCAGACACTTAGGTTTCACTACTTCTAAAAGAATCAGTGGAGGCCAGGAGACTCATGACTTTCAAGGCAAGACAGAGACATGGCACTGTTCCAGCGGAGACTAGGGAGCCTTCCCTGCCTCCAACCTTGCTGGACAGCCCCTCCCCTTAAGAGTGCCTTACTTCATGAAATCTGGAGATTTGGCCATTGCATGTTCAAACTCGGAGAAGGACAGCATGTTGTCATTATCCAGATCTGACTCGCTCAGGACCTGGTGGAAGGAAGGAGGCAGAGATAACCCCAGGAGATGGGTCTGAAGATGGAGAGACAGACAGCATAGAGGAACTAGCGTATGGGAGGTGTCTCAGGGCCCCCCCCCCCAGAGTGGTGTGCACTAAGGTATGGGTACAGGAGGTATCACGGGCTGGCCTTTTGGAAGAAGTCTCCTCAGCAGCCCCCAGCACCAATGTGGCACTGAAGACAGTAGTCCCCTCTCACCCCATCAGCCAAACACAGGCATGAGCCCCGCATTGGAAGAAGCCCGAGTAAGGCAGGAAGTGACACCATTCAGCCCTGAAATCCTCAGGGACTCTCACAATCTGAGAGCTCATGGGCCTGTGCCCCATCTTAGGTTTTCAGGGCTGTGCCCATGCCTTGCTGAGCAATGTGAGCAGGGGAACATTGCGATGGGTTCATCTCATGCTAAGCTGCGGTAGGCCCGGGGGCCCTCGGTGACCCCTGTCAGTGGGAGGCTCTCAGGTGGGAAGGGAGGAAGATAGAAGGCCTGTACTGGAAGAACAGACTTCTGAGGCAGGGTTCTCTCCACTGTGTGCCCACTTCTCAGGCACCACGTGCTGCCCATCCCCCGTGGCGGCTGCTGGCCGGGGAGGGGCGGGGAATATGTGCAGCCCACTCCAGGCTTGACCCTGGATCCCCTCCCAAGAAGATGGCCTGGTATCCTGGAGCTCTGTGTGGTCACCGGCCCCCTCGGGCCCCACCTTTCCGCTTCTGGATACACACGTGGTGCGCGACGTCCATCAGCAGATCCTCAGACACGTCGTCACTTTTCAGCAGCCTCAGCACAATTTTCTGGAGGTCTTCCTCGTCGATGAAGCCGTTCTCGTTAAAATCTGCAGAGAGGACACGGAGGCTGAGTCCCGGGCTCATGGGACCAACTCCCATCAGCCTCTGGGAGGCCACGGAGTGTCCACTTGCTCCGATTGTGTCTAGAATCTAGGACACGAGGGGGCGCAGCTCGCTGACTTGTGGGGGTGAGGTGTGAAGCAGCTGGACCAGCTGTAGACAAGTAAGGCAACAATAATAGCAGTAATTATAGACATCGACTGTGCACCTACTGTGTGCTCGGATGTATTCTCCTTTAAGTCATTGGGTCCTCGCTGTCCACCTTTCTATTGTCTTATTTTTGTCAAGAGTGCACCAAGGTTCAGGGGTGACATAGCTTGTCCAGACGTCCAGGAAATGGGAGGGCCAAGTTCAAACCCAGCTAGGTTGGCCTGGCCGCACACTCAAGTCTATGGTCAGAGTAGAAGAGTGAAAGGTGGCCTGGGTTTGGGACCAAAAGCCTTGGGCATCATCCCATGCTTCTGTCCCTGTGTGGTAGCTGCCTGAGGGACCTGGAGGCAGGTTCTAGCTTCTCAGGGAAGTGCACGGAGGTTCTTGAAGCTCGTGCAGCTAATGGGCTGGCTTCAAGGACGCCAGCTGTTCGCTCACTGAGTTGGGGGCTGGAGCAATGCTCCCTACAGCTTGCCATCCTAATTCTGAGGACAGTGCCCAGCACAGAGCGGAGTCTCGATGAATGAAAGAATAAATGAATGAATGAATGAATGAATGTTCGACCTGGTAAGTGATGGGGACATGACTAAACTCCACCATTTAGACATTACAGGAAATCTAGGCTCTTTACCCCTCACAGCTGTCTCTACCACAGAAAATCACTAATTTTTAGCTGGACAGAGGATCATCCAAATAAAACAGTTTCCCAGGCTTCCTTGCTACAAGAGGTGGCCAAATGGCTAAGCTCTGCCCAGTGACATATTAGCAGAAGAGGGCAAGTGACTTATGGGAAGGTCTTTGAGACAATGAGGTCACCATGGGACTAGAAGGCAAAGCAATGGGAAAGAGGAGCCTTGATCCTTAGTGTTACAGAGCCTTAGGACCACTGTGGACAACCACTTGTGGCTTCTCCACAAGATATATATTTAATCCCAGTTCATTATTTGAGCCTCAGTTTCCCTGTTTGTAAAATGGGTACAATAGTTGTACCTCTCCACTGTGAAGGTTAAATGAGAAATACATAGCCATCCCTTGGCATGAGTCTAGAATACAGAAGACTCCTGTTAGCTGTAGCCAGGGCTTAATTCTCCATCAGGTGCTTCATTGTTAAGTACTAAAAATGAAAACCTGAGAGGCTGTAACATCCCACCTTGAAGAATGGCCAACAGAGCTAGTGGGTTATTAGGGAAACTGAGGCCCAGTGTCTGCTGGTACCGCAGAGTCCTTTTGTGGCAGATCCAAGAACTATCTGCCCCCAAAGGCAGAAAGTGCATATGGAAGGCGAGGTACGTCCCTGACTGTATTTCTCGGTCTGTACTAGAGCCCCAGTCTGAGTTGATCTTGGGCGCTCTTCCTGCGCCGGACATGAATCAGCGGACCAGGTGAAAGGGGTGGGGAGCCCCCCCACCCCCCCACCCCCGAAGGAGGCACCGAGCAGGCGCAGTGACACCACACTGCCGGTAAGAAGCTCCTCTGCAGCCTCTCCCCAAGCCCCTGCAGTGTGCCCAGGCATCCTGCTGGCCTAGCTCCCGTATGCAGAGACTACAGAAAATGACATGGCTTTGGTCCCAAGCCATCTGAAAACAGAATCATTTGCTAGAGTAAACGTAGTCCTGGGTGGTTCCTGTCCTTCGGAGATGCAAGGGCAGAGCAGTCTGGGAAAGGGCTAGGGCCGGGGAGTCTGCGCCCTGGCTGGGTCCCAGTCTATGCTAACGCAGCCGTCTTAGAACTCGCAGCCTGTGACCGACCCCTCGGGTGGGTGTGCGGGCCTCACACTGTAAGCTTAGAGAACTGGATTGGTTAAGGTTTAGCCTCCGAGCCCCTCCTAAACGTGCTTGCCACGAAACGAGCTAAAGCTCATTGCTCGCAGACCAATGGCAGCTTCAGTGGTTTCCCTAGGCTTCCTCCGCGGCCACGCCTAGCCACTGACGTCCCTGACGTTGTTGGCTCAGGTCTCAGGAAGGTGTGGCAAAACCTGCAACTTGCTTTCTGCCTGAGAAGCCATAGCTGGTGCCACCTGGATTAGAAAGGCGTGGCCGAGACATCGGTCTCTGACGATTGATAAATCTTCCTGAAGGTATGGAGAGAGGTGACACTGATCACACCGAGGCCAGAATATCCCTCGGGGCAGAAACTGGTGTCCAGGAGGTGAGTTCCAGGCCTCAAGGTGCTGTAGCCTTGCTGAGAGATTCTCAAAGCAGTTCTTGTTCAAGATGACCCCGGGGTTCAGATGAACATACAGGGATGGCTTTCCCGTCTCCACTGCAGCCATGGGTGGCCCATGACATCATTCTGGCCCCGGAAATATAAACTGAAGTGTCTTGGTGGCATTCCAAGAAAGCTTGGGAACAGCTGACTTATTTGTGTCTTTGAATGTGGATTTCACTTTTATTCTTTCCCCCATTCCCTCCGTACCACTCTCCCTGCCTGGAATAAAGATGAGAAGTCTGTGGGCACAGGACAACAGTCTCGTACCAGGACTTTACAGTTGAGGAAGCATAAAGGATTCTGGGCCCTTGCTTGCTTTCCGAAGTCATCAGTCCAGCTCTAGACTGCCTGACTCCAGACTTCTCTCTCTCTCTCTCTCTCTCTCTCTCTCTCTCTCTCTCTTTCTCTCTCTCTCTCTCCTTTCATTTGTTTATTGTTTGTTTGTTTATAACCAGGGACACTGCTACCTGTAGCTGGATACAATCCTAACAGATACAGTAATACAGCCAGCTAGAGAAGGAGCCTCCAAACCTGCCCAGGGGGCTTTGCAAAAGCCCGGAGGCCAGGAGATACCATTCCATCAAGTTGTTTCTCGCTTTGATTTAACTCCCAGGTGGTTGGAGTATGCAGTCAGGTTAGGGAGGCAGGAGGCTAATGCATGGCTTTCTAGACTTTTCAGAGGCTGAGATTGGTGGGGGCACAAGGGGTGTATCTTGCTAAGATGGAGATTTGATTCAGAGGTGTAAGTGGGGCCAGAGGATCCACATCTTTGGTCCCCTCCTGAACCTTACCCGGAGTCATCAGGTCAAGAGCATCAAGAGGTCTTTGGAGTTTCACAAGATCCCCTACCATGAGCATTACCAACACACTGGTCTCCTCTGTCTGCCTCTTTGCTCTTCCCTTTAATTCCCCTCTTCCTTCCTTATGTGCTTACTTCAGACTTACTGGGCAGCTTCTGTGTACTAGGGACTAGACGCAAGCATCCCGGAGTTCTGTCTCACACTAAGCTGACGGCTGCCTATGGTCACAAATTGTCAGAACCCAAAGACAATTCTGATTTGTCTGGGTGTCCTGAATGCAGGCTGGGGCACCAGTCCCAGGCATCTATTTATACTGAAGATTTAACTGAACTTTTGAAATCTCTTTGTGCTTGTTGTCCTTGGGGAAGGGGAATAACTGTGTGTGTTAGGGGCTTGGAGACGGATGAAGACAGATACAAGGACACTGGGGTGGAGTGGAGTGTCATCTGGTCCTGACTTGACCCCAACCACTCAGTCTGACCTCTGAGCACTGAAAATTCCCGTTTATAAAGCTAAGCAATGTTGGCCCTGTGTCTGGAAGACGCTTGTGGGCATCTACTGTCCTGATGGGCTTTGGGGGCTTTGTTTATTAGGCTCTGGAAACCATGGGAAGATGGTAGAGCACTCTTCCTCCTTCTTCCCCTCCCTCCCTCTCTCCCTCTCTCCTTTACTTCCTTCCCTCCTTCTGTCAAGACAAAGCCTCAAGTACCTCAAGCTGGCCTTGAACTCACTAAGTATGGGAGCATGACCTTGAACTTCTGCTTCTTCCAGCTTTCTCTCCTGAGTGCAGAGATTAGATTTCAGGCAAGAGATGTAACACCCAGCTTTTTCTGTCTCTGAGAAATGTCTTCTGGGGCCATGTTTAGTCATGAGACTCTGCTTTTCTTTTGACCATAGGTGACTGGACAAGGCTGATCCTCCAGCCATGGTATCAGATCATTGGCTTCGCTGAGCCGTTCAGCGCCTGCTGAGAAACTGAAACTGTGGCCAGTTGCTCGGTGTAGGATCTATAGGCCATGTGGGTACGAGGGCAGTCATCTTTAGTTCATGGACACAGATGAATAAACCTCAGGTCTGGGAAGGAAGAGGTTTGCTCCGCAGCTGTGCAGAGAAGCTGCCTGGCTTTCTGGCAACTTCTTCACTCTATCCCAGGCCTTCCCTTCTTTCATGGGGTCCGTACCTCTGTCTGTGGACATACTCCATACGAGACAGATGTCTGGAGCTGGGGTTGATGGTACTTGGCTTTTAATCCCAGTACTCTGGAAGTGGTGGCAGGAAGATCAAGATTTTCATGGTACCCTCGGTCTCATAATGAGCTAGTTTGAGGCTAGCCTGGACTACCATGAGCTCCACACCTCTTGGTGCGGATGCTTTCATAGAACCCTGGTGCTGTTTGGTGTGGCGGAGACTGTAACCCGCTTCCAGCCAACAGAATTTGGCAGGCGTGACAGGATGGGTGTCACTTTTGTGGCCAGGTCATGCCATGGAAGACTCCATTCTAACAGGAGACGATTCGAGGGCTGTTCCCTGCCCCCATTCTATTTGAAGACAAGGGGCTATGCTGGGAAGGCTATGTGACAGAAGAGTGGGGTGGCCTTCAGATGCTGAGGGCAGACTCCCGCTCCTAACCAGCATAAAGCTGGGGGTCAAAGGTTCATGAACACAAGAACTGTATTCTGCGAGCTGCTTGGCCAGAACTTTGGCTGGAATTTTGCGAGACTCTAAGATATGGGATCCTCTCTTATTCCAGCACTGGGAAGATAGGGGCAGATAGATCTCTGTGACTTCCAGCCCTCCAGGACTTCATAGTGAGACCCTGCCACAAAAAAAGAATAAAAGAAAGCAAAAGAGGAAAGAGGAGGAGGAGGCAGGAGGAAGGGGGAGGGAGGGGAGTGGAGGAGGAAAGAAGGAAGAAGGATCAGATAAGCCAAGCCTGGATTCCTAACTGGCAGGCACTCTGAAGCCACGAAGTGTGGCACCTGAGGTCGCTGAACTTTGGGGGATTTTTTTTTTTTTACCCAGCCCAGGCAGACTAAGATTAATTGTGCCTTATCTGTTGCTTCATGAGCTAGGTTTCTGTGACTTGCAACCCATGCACTCTTGGCTGAGACTGGAGGGCTGAGCTGGGCCGGGACCCTGCTAGAGGTGTCTTGTCCTGGAGAGTGTGACAGGACTTCAGTCAGCACAGCTGCCACCTCTGACAGAAGTGTGGCTGTGACCAGTGAGCTAGGACTGGCTCCTGGGATCAAAGGCGTTCTCCTGGGACACTTGGGACTGCTTGAGAAAGGAAGAAGGAAGCTGTAGGAGAACACACACACACACACCCCAGGCGGGACTGCTACACTGACAATATACAGTTGTGTGATTTCATTTTCGATTGAGATTCACTATGAATTTGTGTCTTGTACCAAATTTAAGATATTTAGGGCCGTTAGTTCTTCAAATATCTTTTCTACCCTTTGCTTTTGAGACTCTAATTGGATCAACTGGTTGCATATTCGACCTTTCTAACTCTGCCTGTCCCAAAAGCCATGTTCTTCCGTTCTCTCAATGTGTGCCCTCTGTTATTCAGATTTTTTTCTCTGCCTCTGTCTTCAGATTGGTCCTTTCCTCTGTTATCTCAATTGTCCTGTGAAGTCCACCCAGGGAGTTTTGATTTCAGATGTGTGTTTTTGTGTTTGTTTGGCTTGTTTGGTAGTGGGGTATGAACCTAAAGGCTATGGCATACTAGGTGAGTGCTCTATCATTAAGCTTCCCCCAGACATCTAATTTTTTTTATTTTGTAATATAGACTTGCTAAGCTTTCCAGGTTAGCCTTGGATGCACTCTGTAGCTCAGGCAGACTTGGACCATGTGAGCCTCCTGCTGCAGTGTACCACACAGCTGGAATTACAGGCCCAGCTTCTTCTCAGAGTCATATTTTTCTTTTTCTTTCTCTCTCTCTCTCTCTCTCTCTCTCTTGTTTTAAAAAGAGGAAAACATTTAATTGGGGCACTTGCTTACAATTTCAGAAGTTTAGTTCATTATCATCATGGTGGGAGACGGTGGCATGCAGGCAGACATGGTGCTGGAGAAGGAGCTGAGAATTCTACATCTTGATTCAAAGGCAACAGGAAGTGAACTGAGACACTGGGTTTGACTTGAGCATATACGAGACCTCAAAGCCCACCCCCACAGTGACACACTTCCTCCAACAAGGTCATACCCACCTCAACAAAGCCACATCTCCTAATAGTGCCACTCCCTATGAGCTTATGGGGACATTCAAACTACCAAGCTCAACTCACTAATCTCCAAAATCCCGTAACAATATCATAACACAAAATACATTTAGTCCAACTTCAAAAGTCCCCATAGTCTATCACTGTCTCAGTAATGCTTTAAAGTCCAAAGTTCAAAGTCTCTTCTGAGATTGATGAATCTCTTTACTATAATCCCCTATAAAACCAAAATCAAAAAGCAGATCACACACTTCCAACATATAATGGCACAGGATAGACATTATCATTCCAAAACACAGGGAAGGGAGCATGGTGAGGAAATATCAGACCAGAATAAGACCAAAACCCAGCTGGGCGAACCCCAAACTCTGCGTCTCCATGTCTGATATCAAATGCTCTTTAGATCTCCAACTCCTTTCAGCTTTGTTGACTGCAACACACTTTTCTCTCTTAGGCAGGGTCCACTCCCCGTTAGCAGCTCTTTTCAGCTGGTATCCCGTAGTTCTGGCATCTCCAACATCTTGGGGTCTCTAAGGCAATTCAGGCTTCACCTTCACAGCGTCACACGATAGCCTCTCTGGGCCTCCATTCAGGGACATCCCTAACAGCCCGTCTCAGAGACTTTCCTTAGTCGCTGAGGAATAATGGAGGAATATTCCATTACCCCTTCCTTCTATCCTTAAAACCATGGGGCTGAAGCTGCCAAGTTCTGCTGCTTGCTGGGGCTAGAACACGGTCCCCTTGTTCAATTACATCTTGACCAGCTATCTGTTTTCCTTCACTGCCTCCATAGCTGTATTTTTCTGATGAGGTTTCATATCTATTTATTGTGTGTGTGTGTGTGTGTGTGTGTGTGTGTGTGTGTGTGCATGCGAGAGGGCATGGGGAGGATTTTCTTTTATTTTATTGGAAATGGTTGTTGTGATGGTCAATCTTATGTGTCAATTTGACTTGGCTGAGGAATGCCCAGATAAAGGCAGAAAAAAAAAATTATTTCCTGGTGTGTCTGTGAGAGAATTTCTGGAAGAGATTAGCATTTGAATCAGCAAACCGAATAAAGAAGGTCACATTGAAATGTGCAGGAGACAGTCCTTTCGTGGCTGGGGGAGGGTGGTGGCCTCATGAGGCCTCATTCCTGAGTCAGAACTATTGGCAGTTGTGGGGGGGGGACTGGGAGGAACTTTCTTCAGTGGTGTAGCCACTGGTAAACTGCCCATGCGCCAGTAAACAACCCTTCAGCCACTCTTGTGTAGGCAACCCCAGTTAAATACGATGGATCTCTCTCTCTCTCTCTCTCTCTCTCTCTCTCTCTCTCTTTCTCTGTTTCTTTGTCTCTGTCTCTCTCACACACACACATGGATGGTGAGGGCTGGTAAGGAGGGGTACAGAGGGAGAGAAAGAAAAGAGGGTGAGGAGGTGAAATGACTATAATACATTGCATACAGGTCTGAAGTCATCAAAAAATAAAAAAAAAAAAAGAGCTGGAGAGGTGGCTTATGTGTTTGGAGTATGTATTGTTCTCGCAAGGGACCTGGTTTGGTTCTCAGTAACCACGCTGGGAGGCTTACAACCACCTAATCCAGAGGATCCAACGCCCTCTTCTGGCCAACTTGAGTACTGTGTGTGTGCATGCACACACACACACACACACACCTTTTAAATACATTAAAAACAAATAAAAATCAAAAACCAAGATCACACCCATCATTGTGCGTTGGCATCACCCAGCCCGATAAGGACCCAATAGCTGACAAGCGGAGGTCGGAGGAGCTTTTCCGTCTCTGCTCTGTCCTTGGTCAATGGTGCTCTCAATTCTTGTGCCTTTGGACTGAATTAAATCACCGTCTTTCCCGGATGTCCCACGCACAGTAGACTGTGTGGTTGCTGGTCACCAATGTCCCCCAAGTCCACCCCTACAGGTCCTTCTTTCTCTTTCTCCCTCTGCCCTTCCCTCTCTACCCCTGCATCCTTTTCCCTTCTGCTTCTCTTTCTCGTGGCTTCTGTTTCTCTGAAGAGCTGACGACAGCGGCGACGGCGGCTGTTTTAAGACTCTATCAGTGAATTTCAGTATCTGGGTCATGTCAGAGTCGGTCTTCCTTCTGGAGGCTGCAGCGAGATTTAAAGGAATTTCCTTGCATAGCAGGTCACTTTGGGGTATTGTAAATGTCTCAGTGTGGAGATGCGGAATTCTGTTCAGTTCTCCAAAACATTGCTGACATTTTTGGTTTAATTCAGCCTGCAATCCTGTCATTCAGGTTCTCCAGATTGGGGGGAAGTGGGGGTTTGTTTGTTTAGTTTGGGATCCAATCAGGAGCCTTGTGTATCCTAGGCAAGCATTCTACCATTGAGCTATAACACTAGCCCTTGGCTTTTTAAGACAGGGTCTCACTATGTAGTCCTGTTTGTCTTCAAACTTGTAATCCTTCTGCCTCAGCCTTCTGATTACCAGTGTGTGTGCCACCATACCTAGCAAGTTTAGGTTTTCCTCGGCCTGCATGGTTCTGCTCACTGATATCTGAGGACAGGAGGAGCTGGATGGCCTCCTTAAACAGAAAGGGCAGTGGTCATCAGTGCCAGTCTGCCTGTGCAAGCAAAGGAGTTTCCATGATGTACTCAGAGATGTTTATGGTCTGTTGGAAAGTGTCTCAGGATTTCTTTAGCTCTTTCCTTTTGGTTGCTTTGGAGAGATCTGAGTATCCCACTGGGCTTCGGGGACAATACAGGGCAAAGGGCAGACATCACAGATCATCTTTCTCAAGCCTTCACTTTCAAGATGAGAGAACGGGTTCTTGGGAAAATGAAATGACTTGTTCAAGACTAGGCAGCCACTGCATGCAGAACCGGCTCTGGTGCTCATGTCTCTCAAGTTCCCACCCAATCTTCTTCCTGCCAGACAAGCAATGTCTTCCCTTTCTCGCTGGTTTGCCCAGAGAGAGATCACTGAATAGCCACATCGGTGACCCCAGTGCCCTTGGATGGAGTTATGATTTGAACATGAAATAGAGCATTTGTTTCCCAGCTGCTGGCACTGCTTTGGGAGATGGTGGGACTTTTGGGAGGAGGAACCTATCTGGGAAGGGCATGGATTTCTTAAGGGGCAGGACTGGAGGCTTACAGTACCACCCAACATCCTGTGTTGCCTCTGATTCCTCTTTCACCAACGTGTAAGGAGGTGAGGCATCTCAAACACATGTGGCCTTCTGGTCACCCGCTGTCCCTGCATGATGGACTGTGTGCCTTCAGACACTCAATAAATCCTCCTTCACCTAAGTTGCTTCTTGTCACATATGTTGGTGACAGCACTAATAAAGGCCACTTATATAGATAACGTAGAGGGAAGGTCTATCAGAGTTGAGATTCCCAACCGGTTTTGTTATTTCACAGTATTTAAGAAACACAATATATACTCATAAAGACCAGATGAATCCCCGTTATACCATACCATCAATGAACTAACATTGCTGGATTTCAGATGTGGCAGATTCTCTTTGACCGCTTCCTCCTCCCCACTCAGCACCCCAACCACCCCAACCAAGGTACCCACCATAGATACGAAAGGCATATTCGATCTTCAGGCTGGGGCAGGCCTGCTCACTGAACACTGACGCCATGCCCAGGACATCTTCGAAAGAGAACACGCCGTTGTGGGAGAACACCCTGCAGATTCGGTCTCTGAAAGGGTTGACCTGTGAGGGGAGTGAGGGAGACAAGGTCTATCAGGGCCCAGGTGTTGCCTCCCCGGGCCTATCCCACTTGCCATTAGCACTGTGTCTGGGCCCAGGCAAAAAGAACAAGCTCAGGAGTAAAACAGGACCCTGGGTGTGACGGAGGAACCCAGGACCAGGGAGCCTGCTTGACATCACTCTGCTCATCCATGTCTCCTCCTGCACACACATTCCAGCATTCCAGTGGCTTGTGTGTGTGTGTGTGTGTGTGTGTGTGTGGTGTGCATGTGCATGTGTGGTTTTGGGTCGTGTTATTGAAGATTTTTTACGGCTATCAAATTTCCCTCCATTTTACATTTAAAACTCAGAAAATTTTTTAAAAAATGGATAAAGAATAAAACAAAAGCCATCTATAACCGAGTGCCCAGAGGTAACCAGTAGCATTGCTATAGCAGGCAGCAGACCTGGGTTTAATGCTGTGCCATTAGTTAGGGAGCAGCTGTCATACAGAGGCACTCACTGACTATCCCTCAGAGTTAAAGATTTCTCTAAAGTACAGAGATAATAGTTATGCTGCCATACGAGACTGACATGAGGAATGAGCAGAAGAATAACCCAGTGTCTGATAGAAAACTCAGCCAATGGGAGCTGCCAGTTGCTCCTTACCCACCACAGATGTCATAACCAATAGGGCAGTTTTCAGATGAGGTGCCAAGGCTGGAAATGAAGCTCAGCAGCAGAGCATTTGCCTAGCACGTGTGATGATGCCCTGGGTTCAATCCCCACCCCACACACGCCTCCACACCTACACACACACACACACACACACACACACACACAGTCCCAAATTACCAAGGGCCACGCTGTTTCCAACTCCGATTCCTTCAAACTGCCCTGATCTTAGCATGTGAGCTCCCTCCTCTACTGACATTCCTCCACGTGGGCTTGTGACATCCCAGCCACCATCGGCCAGTTTGGGTACAGCTCACTATTGCAGCTTGCGACTGTCCCTCTAGTCCCCAGGAATAGGCAGGTGGTGAGAGGACTTTCGGGGGCAGAGCTCATCAGAATTTGTAATAGTTTAGATTATAATTGTCTCCCCAAAGCCTGTGTGTTATAGGTGTGGTCCCCAGGAAGCAGCGGAAGCTTTAAAAGGTAGGTCCGTGAAAGGTTATAAGACATTAGTGAGATGTGTCCTCGGAGAGGATCATGGGACTTCAGTTCTTCTTATTACCTTTGCTTCCCAGGTGCCACGAGGTGGGCAGCTTCCTTCTCTACATATTGTGTTGTCTTTCAACAGACCCCGAAGCAATGGGGACAGTTGACCAAGGGCTGAAATTACAAAGCTGTAATCCCCTTCTAGCACGATCTGCTCTGGTGTTTTATTATAGTGACTGTTGATTCGTATAGAGCTCGGCAGGGAGGCACAGAGAAGGGTGCTTGGCAATCTTTAAAAGTAGCAAGTTTTTGTAGACCAGGCTGGCCTCAAACTCACAGAGATCCACCCGCCTCTGCCTCCCACGTGCTGGAATTAAAGGCGTGTGCCATCATGGGAGAGGGTAGAAGGGGAGGGGAGAGGAAAGGAGGGGAGCAGAAAAAAATATACAGCTCAAAAAATTTTTTTTTTTAAAAAAGTAGCAAGTTCAGCTTTGACACGCCCTCCTCTCACTCTCTGGAGCTCCATCCATTCCCTCATCCCAGGATGCCTTTCCCCAGTAGCTCAGCGCCCCCACCCAGCAGACCTTATCAGACTCCAACCTCTCTCTCTCTCTCATACTTCAAAACAAACCCTAATAACTCATACCTCCCTCAAATCCCTGTTCTTATATGTACCCTGACTAAGCCTCCTGACCCTGTAAGCCTTTAGAGCAGATGCAAGCATGCAGTAGTAGAGCCCCAGCTCCCCCGAAGTTCTAATCAGCTGAAGTGGTTCTCTGGGTTTTTCTAGCTCTTTTCTATGACAAGGCATCTCTTTAGAGCCCCGTGTTTCATGCAAGCCTCTCTGCTTCAGCTGGGCAATGACCTATCACGTAGCTTGAGCCGCCTGCTAAGGATCTATACCAGTGGTTCTCAACCTGTGAGTCATGACCCCTTAGCTGTTCGCCAAGACCATTGGAAAACACAAATATTTACATTACGATTCATAACAGTAGCCAAGTTACAGTTATGAAGTAGCAACAAAATAATTTTATGGCTGGGCCAGCACACCAGGAAGAACTGTACTAAAGGGGCACAGCGTTAGGGAGGTTGAGAACCCCGCTCTCTGGAGCTCCCACCCGGATCAGCCAATGCTTAGCTCTCTTGCTTCAGGTCTTCAGTTTTGACATTTGGGATATTTTCTTTTTCTTTCCTTCTCCTAGAACTCAGCCATACATTTACCCGTGTGGTTTTATTTTGTGCATCATTGTATTTGAGATGAGACATTGTGTGTCACTTCAGGTGGCTATGCAGCTCTCAAATTTTACTCAGCATACAGGTCACTTGGGGTCACTCTATAAAGCATGAATTCGTGTTTGACAGTTGTAGCGCTTCATCTGTGCAAGATGAAGAACCAGCTATTCCCCGTGACGCTTGTAGGTCCCAGTTTTGCACTGTGCATTTGAATATCTAAGAGGGTAGATCTTGTGGTAAGTGTTCTAAAAATTCAAGTCCAATATGGTGGTGCACACTTGTAATCCCAGCACTTGGGAAGCTGAGGGAGGAGAATTTGGGGGTCAGAGCCTACTAGCCTTGGCTACATAGGGAGTACCGGTCCAGCCAGGGATGTATAGCAAGACCTTGTCTCAAAAACAAAACAAAACAAGAGAACAATCTTCTAAAAATCGTGAAGAGTGTGATTGTCACATTATGGTGAGCACATGGTACATACTACATGCATACCACACATACTTTCACCTTCTGAGGCCTTGTGTCAGGTGGTCTAGAGCAGAGGTCAGCATGGTAGAGTGAATTGTGTCCCTCCAAAGTTCCTGTGTCAAAGTAGCAAATCACCACACCTCAGAATATGACTTCATTAGGAAGTAGAGTTGTAGCTACGATTCCCAAGGTTGAAGGGACATCACACAGAGGAAGGATCCTCATGACATACAATGTTGTCCTCATATGAAGGGACTGGACACATGTGTGTTCTCAGAGACTGCCACATGGAGGCAGAGGCAGACATCAGGGGGAAGCTTCTACAAGTCAAAGAATGAATGCCCAAGATCGCCAGCAACCCTTCAGAAGGTAGAGAGAGCCTGGAACTGACTCTTCGTCCCAGCTTCGTCCCAGTCTTCAGAAGGAGCCAACCCTGTCTACACACTCTTGGGCTTCCAGCCTTGGCAGTTAGGAGACAACATTTCTATTGTGTAAGTCACAGAGTGTGTGGTACGTAAGTAAATGAATGCACCAAGCAGGATGCTTTGTCCTCAGGTCATGGGAGCCTGATATATATATACACACACACATACATACATGTGCATCATAGGCATATACATATACATACATATATAATGTATTATGGATAAATATATACATGTTCCAGAAATGGCCATGATGCAAGGGAATCCAGGCTGACCCACCCAAAAAACCAAGTACACTTTAGGCTGGAGCTTCTGTTCTTTTACTTTAACATGCCCAGAAACACCTCCTATCTCTAATAGACACTGAGAGCTTGAACTCCTAGGTTGTGTTCCAAGTACCTAGCTAAGTGGCTTCATCAATTATGTGACCAAATGTTAGCTACCTTAACTCTTCTTGCAAATGGATATATGGCTTCACAGGATTCCTGCAAGGAATCCATAACCGAAGGCAATGTTTGTAACACAGACAAAAGTAAACAGAGAGAAAGCACCAGCGGTGAGGTATTTTCCTACTTGAAATGCAGCTTTCCTCCACACGGAAAAAGCTCAAGAATCCAGGCAGACAAAAACAAGATGTCCTTGCGTCAATTCTCTGAGCCTGTGCTCAGTCAGGCACAAGGCAGGTCACCATGCTCTCCTCCACCGCACTTCTCCAGCTAGGAAGAAGATGAAGTCTTTCTTCCCCTGGGGCCTCCTCCAACGCTGGCCTTGGCTGGGAGTGAGGGGGTTGATGGTGGTGGGGTTGGGGTGTCGGGGGGTTCCTGGAAGATCAATTTACTTTCCCTTTGACCCATCTCATTTGACTTACACACACGCGTGCGCGTGCGCGCACACACACATACACACAGAGGGGAGGTTGGCAATGTGGTATCCTCTAGGTAAAACAATCACCATCTTAATTAGGCCAGCTGTGCCTGTTTTCGAACAAGCATAGAGTTAGGGCCTGCTGGCTGCTGGGGTTTCCTCAGAGAAGGAGGAATTTAGGAGAGCAGGAACCCTCTTCTGAGACTCCAGCCACTCTTCCCAGCCCTTTGCATGCAATTCTATTCTAACAGCAAATGACGTAGGGGTCTTGGGGTGGTTAGGGAAAGGGGACCCCCCCATCTGTGTGACTGTGGGGAAGCCATCATTCATGCTGGGTAAAGATTTTCTGGCACGGCAAGGTCACTCGTGGTCCTTTAGGCAACCCCTCATCTGGACTCTGGAAGTCCACTAAACTCCTTGGTTCCTTAGGTTGGACTTTTTGTTGTTGGGGCCTTATAAGGCGAGTGCATATGTTTATATCTTCCCAGAGAAGGAATTCTCGGAATATACATTCCCCCCTCAGACTGGAAACCCAGAGGTTGGTAGTTGATGACAGCAAGAATAACGGCGTAGACACTGCAACCTTGGAAAATGCAGAGACGGTATTTCTGAAGACGAAGAGAAGAGGCACGTCTCACGCTGCCGCGCCTCTGTGAAATACTTAAAAGCACAGATGTTTCTAACTTGGATTTCTTAGGTTTTGATTTAACGATGAACTACATGAAGAGCCTTGTGTCTCTGAGCCACTAAAGAGGAAGCTGTCACAGAATAATAATAAAAACATCATTTCTAGTTGTGTGTGGTGGTACAGGCCTGTCATTCCAGCACTGGGGAGGTTGAGGCAGGAGGACCACGAGTTCAAGGCTGACCTGGACT